GAGAGAGAGAGAGAGAGAGCCCAAAAGATGTGTGCACACGCAAGAAGGGACACGCTGGATCTGTGGGACGCACAAAATGAATGTGCGAGTGCTCCTATGTGACATATAAGGCACGCTGTCAGGATGAAGCAGGGAAAAGATACCCAGAGAGAATATTTTATTTCTATCCATTCCACATTCTGTTTGTCAATTTAAAAAAAAGCCAGAGAGATGTACAAATGCTCCACACATGCAGAGGATGATCAAATAGACATGCAGTTCAGTTTCGAAAACAATGCCCCTCAGTTTTTATTTCTGTTTTCCTTCTTAACAAACCCTTTCTTGCACTCTATATGCCTGGAAATAACCAGAGAGAAAAAGTGTGTGCAAACGTACATAATACCTTGAAAACGCTGGGTAAAAGAGAAAAAAATTGTGGCATTAGGCATACCAGATGCAGACCCTATCATCCGGTCTGGCTCTGTACCAGGGCAGTGCATGTTTGCCCCCCCCGGCCAGGGCTCACATCAGTGTCCAGCACCGTGTGTCATCGTCCACTCAACACCAGCAGGCAGCAGCTGGAGCCGCCACCTCCAGGCTGTGTGCCGAGTCGGGTCAAACTGAGGGCTGCTTCTGTGTCCGTCCAAACTGCTGTAACATGAAACCTTTGAAAGGACCAAATCAAATATGTGTAATTCATCATTTATCAACTGTATTCACTATCTGACTTACAGTGGATACAGTGGATTAAATTTGGATACAGTCCCTTATTTCCCCCCATGAATTATGATGTTGAATAACAGCCTGGAAAGCGTTACAGAATAGTGTGACGCCACAGAGAGGTTGACCTTTGGGGGGGGGGGGCTGTTTATCGGCTACGGTTCGGGTTTGGACCCCGTTGACCTGTTTTTGGGTCATCTTTGGGCTGGACGTTGAACACCCACTTACCTGCCCTGAAGCCTCACATTTGGCTTTGTGTTCTGGGTCCTGTCTGTGCCTGTCCTAAAAGCGAGGACTGTGTCAAGAAGGGTGTAAAGATTCCTTCCAAAAGTCAAAGTTGATACACCCTGATCAGAAAAGCTGAAAGAAAAACAACTTTGAATATTCTAACTTCTGACTTATTCCACACTTTTAGGTCAGAACCTGATGGAGGTCGTACATCTATATCTATATTCCTGACATATTTTTTTATGTTAGAATGATTCATTTATTCGTGTAAAGTCTCTTTGCAGACATAAAAAACATTTTCCTGAAAAAAGACTGGACAGAAAATGAGGGATGAGGCAGCGGAAGTCAAAGGAAAAATTCTGACAGCCAGCTGAGCTATAGCTGAAGACCTCTTTAGAGTGATGCCTGAAAGGCTGGCTTCTTTGACACAAAGCAAAAAATGGGGGCTTTGGTATCGCCCTCTGATAGAAGAGGGGAATTTGTAGAGATTTATTTGGGCATATTAAAAGCTTTTGTTGTCTATGATGACCTCATCAGTTAGCCAGTTAAAGAAATTCATCAATACTTCTATAAAAAAAAACAGCTCTGAAAATTTACCATGGAAGATTCCCCCTAAACAAAACCTCAAAGCTTTGGAGAGGACCTTTGCCCGGGGTGTCCTGCTGGACTGCGGACATGCCGGGTCCAGTGCAGAGATGTGGCCGGAGAGCGGGCAGCTGTCCATTCAGCAGTGATTTAGAGGCTGAACAGGCTGAGCCATGTGGCTCAATAGCACTAAAAGGCTCATCCTGTCTAATGGGGTTCCTCTGTGACGCAGACACGGAGAAGCTGCCCCCCCCCCCTCCCTCTCGTTTACTCTAACATATAGTCTCACACACACACACCTACTCCTCGCCCATTCATTTTTCCACCGTGCAGACACATAGAAAGATACACACACATGACAAACATGCATTCTGGTGTGTGACGGCACACACAAACACACACACACACACACACACTGGCCTGCACACTAATGAAAAGGCCGGGCAGTGAGACAACGGTGCACGACAAACAGTTGTGTAATTGCTTTTGAGAAACGGCTCTTGTCGCAGGCTGTCATCGATTGGTCATTTGCTGGGCGTGTGGGAGGAGGCCCAGGCTAGCACCGATCATTACTGGACTGTGCCATCACTTTATTAACTTAATACCGTCTGATGTTTGGCTGAGGGGGGGCGAGGGGGACACGCTTTGGGGGCCAGATACACTACCTGTAGCAGGATGGGAACAAAGTCCCAGCTTCATCATTCTGGTCACTCATGAGTCAACCGGATGGAATGGAAGTTACTCACTTCCAATATGCAAAGTGGCCTGAGTGTCTAAGTTTCTGGTGTTCTGAGGCAGATCAATAAGTAGATGATTGTATAAGCTGATTCTGGAGAGTCTTAATGCTGAAGTTTGTGCTGCCCAAGCAACGTTATGAATGAAGAGCCAGTGCGTCACTCTGTAGTACACGTCCCTCCCCAGCAGATGGCCCCGCCTGCAAGTGCTTCCTCATGAGGGTGCTGGGGGGGTTGGGTGGGGGGGGGCACCTATTGACTTGGAATTTGAAATATGACATGTAATGCAACATTCTTTGGAAAGTTCTTTAAATAGTTACCGCTGGTGAAGCTCCTCCATGGCCAGAGCTTTGCTTTGCTTTGCCTCCTGTTTTATTATTGACATCAATGCAAATGGGGGGGGGGCAAAAGCTCCAAATGACTGGTGGATTTTGTGAATGGAGCACTTAGTGACTGAGGAATGACGTCAGCACAAAAGCCATATCTCTTATTAGCGAGCCAAGACCGGGGGGAGGCGTCCCATTGGCTCGCCGTAGCATCAGAGCGACGGGATTGGCTGCCGGCAGATAATTAAACACCTACACAGTCCATGCACAAATCCAAGTGGTGGGATATATAGGCTGGTGCGTTGGCGCTGCATGCAACAGAATCAAGAGTTGTTCAGCAAGTTGAGAGAAAGTCAACTTACTGTGTTTTGCAGAGAGACTCGTAGAGATATATATTTCTTAACTTTTTTTTTGGCTGGGCGATTTTCTCTGAAGGTGAGTGTTGGCTTCCCTGTTGTGTTGGGTTTGTGCTGGAGCTGGCTTTAGACTCTGGGAACGCTGAGACTGTGGTGGTGTGGTGTCAGTGTTGGTAACCGTTACGGGGTGCGGATGCTGAGGGGTCACCTGGATCAGCAGCACCCATTCCTGTGAGGGGTGGGGTGGTGGTGGTGGTGGAGGTGGTGGAGGTGGTGGAGGGGGGGGGGTCTTGTTCTTGAACCAAAAGAACTGAGACGGACACAGAAACAGGGAGAGAAAGTATTGAAGGGGGGGTTATCTGTAAAGCAAAGAAGCTGAAGGGAAGAAGACTGTGGGATGGAGGAGAATGGGCAGAATAAACCAGGTTTGAGTGTGTGTGTGTGTCTCTGTGTGTGTGTGTGTGTGTGTAAGAGAGAGAGAGAGAGAGAGAGAAAGTGCTGGCAGCTCATTACACTAATGCACTGGTCCCTACGGAGTTGGCAAGCTTTGAGTCGCTCCCCCCTCCTCAATTCTCTTTCCACCCCTCCTCTTCCCTCACTAGCGAATGCTACCTACACCGCACAGTCTAGGAGCCTTACCTACAGACACACACACACACACACACACGCATACAAAAGCAGCAGGCATGTCACCTGCAGCCCACGGCAGCAGAGAGCTACACACCCTGTGCCCTCAGCGGGAGGCTCTGGAAGAGTGCTTTTTGAGGAGAGGAAGAGTAGAAGGGATTGTCATTGTTATTTAGCAGGACACTGAGATGTGGTCAGAACTAAGCCCAGCTCTCCCGTGCTGTGACCCCCCCCCCAGGGCTCAGACACCAGCCAGTGCATTTCCTAGACGTGATGCTTTGAGCAGTTTTGTGCAGCTGATGGAGTGTTTTTTTGGGGGGGTTTGTCTTTCTGGCCGTTTAGGGGACCATGGTTATGTTGAAGATCTCTGCTTTCCTCGTTGCCTACGCCCTGGTCATTTGCCAGATGTACTGCTCACAAGCCGCCCCTGCCAGGTGAGACACTCAGCACCCTCTCACACTCAGCGGGCGAAAAAAAACGCAAATCTGGGGAGTTTCGTTAGTTCTACAAGCCACTAGTGGAAAAGGATGCGCACAAGAATCAAAGAACTTTACCTTTGCTATTATCGTTCGAAATAAAAAAACACATTTAATGTTACTAAATGGCCAAAAATTTGGCATTACAAGTAAAATCTGATGTCTACTATATCTAGTACAGACGATGATTTTTTTCTAGCTGAATCTGTTTTTTGGGGGCGTTTTGGCTGCAGTGTCACTTCAGAGGGAGAAAAAGTGGCATCTATAGAACTATATGAAGCCCCATAGCCCCTCCCTGCTCTCTTCACATGAAGCTATTGATTTATTAATAAATCTAAAACTGGTTGGACACCAGCCCTGATCTCAAATGGGGCACTTTCCCCAGATTGTTTCCCCTCCACGTTGGCCAGTGGCCCTCCAACTCAGACGTCATCCCTCTCATAGGTGGTGACGTCTCAGCCACTTCTCCCCCCCACTCCCCCCCCCACCCCCCCCCCCCCCCCCCCCCACCCCGCCCCAACGCCACACAGATCTGGCCGCCCATCCTTCAACTCCAAGTCCACTCCAGCAAAGGATTTACATTAATAATGACCTCAATCCCCCCCCCCACCCCCCCCAACCCACCCAACCTGTAACCCTCCCCCATTCGTGTTCTCACCACAGACCGGGTCTGGAGTCCATTTCAGACCGAATCACGCTCACGGACTACGAGGCGCGAAGGTTACTCAACGCCATTGTCAAGGAGTTTGTGCAGATGACCGCAGAGGAGTTGGAGCAGCAGGCGGCTGAAGGAAACAGGTGCATATCACTCTTTATTCAGCCATATTTAACCTCCCCCAGCACAGAAAACCACCAGCAGAGGACTGGACTTATGACAGTGGTGGGAAACACCTGCTTAAACTCTAAACTAATCTAAAAAAGGAAAGGAAGAATAGATTTTTGTTTTTTAAAGTGTCAAAAAATCCACGCATTCTTTAAAGGGCTCCATAAGATTCTGGTTTCACTTTAACGTCGATGAGGATGCATCTTGGGCTCAGTCTGGCCAAGAGGTATGTGCCGTTTAAAAAGCCAATAGGAGAGAAAAAGGCAGATTTTCCCGAAAAAACTGGCAGATAGGACACAAATAAAAGTTTCCTTCTCAGTCGAGACCCTACTCCCGCATGGATGAGTTTGGATTTGGACGTGTGAACGGTCTAATGCTGCCTGCCGGGCATGTGAACAGATGAGCTGCTCATCAGAACGTATGAGTGTGCATGACGTCGGTTACAGGAAGCTGCATGAGGGCGGGAGGAGACGGGTTTCTGGGTTTGCTGGGTGTAAATGATGTGGTGCTTACTGGCATGAAGACGTGGATGACTCTTTCCATTCCCAAAAGGGTGGCATGAATCTGCAAGGGTTAGATAGGACTTACATAGACCTATTTAGAATGGTGAAGGCATGATAAAGAGATGCATGTGAGCGGACTGGTTCTCCAGAGTTAACTTCTGGGGAGGATTGACTGATGTACCTGCATGGTTTCCCCTACCTTTGAGCCTGCTCTTGGCATGTCTTCTGTGTGTTCCCTCCCCCACAGCATGGACAGACCCCTAGCCAAGCGCTGCTCCAACCTGAGCACTTGCGTGCTGGGCAAACTGTCTCAGGAGCTGCACAAGCTGCAGACCTTCCCCCGCACCAACGTGGGAGCAGGGACGCCCGGCAAGAAGCGCAGTGCGCCTGCCAGCGACGGCTACGCGAGCTACGGCGAGCCGTTTGACAGCATCTAACCCCCCCCCCCCCCCTCCCCCCCCCCCCCCCAGCCCCGTCCCCTCCTGCCATCCTCTCCTCTTTACATTGGAACGTGCATGCTGACTTCACCTGCTTGATCGACAAGAGAAAAATAAGACTTTTCAGTCCTTATACCGCTTTCCCCTCTTGTTTTTTTTTTTTTTTTTTTGGGTGGGAACCCAGAGAAGGATTTGTTTAATCTATCTCAGACAATCAGTTTTCATTTTCACAAGTGTAATGCAGGAGCCATCTTTGTGTACAGTATGTGGAGTCAGTGGATGGCATCTCAGATCCCCTGAATGTTAAGAGCTGAGAGAGATCACGTAATCTAAACATTAATAAATGATCCACTCACGCGACACCATGTTTGTTGTTCAATAAACGTATTTTTCTACCAGGAAGCCTTAGTTCATTTTTATTCATAAAGACACCAAAGACAGTCAGTTGGTGCATGTGAGGGTTTTCAAATATGGTCAAAAAGTTTCCAATTGTCCAAAAGAAGCCTCTGCCAAGTTGAAAGGTAAGAACACAAGGGTGTGCATGCTTAATGTATATATATATATATTCTTATTGGTCCGTCTAAGCTTGATGTGTTTTCTGTGGCTTATATGGTTTGAATTGTCAGAACAGACACTGTGTGTGCGTGTTTCACCCTGTTGTTGACTAAATGTCTGCGTGTGGGCTCAGAGCTGGGTGGTAACCCTCTGTTGGTTCTCCTGAAGCAGCGTTACAGCACAGAAGCGGGCCTGCAACACAGCCACCTGCGTCACCCACCGCCTGGCCGACTTCCTCAGCCGGTCAGGGGGAATGGGCAACAGCAACTTCGTCCCCACCAACGTGGGCGCCAAGGCCTTCGGCAGGAGGAGGAGAAGCACCCAGATGTGAACACCCCGAGACCATCAGAGAAACGGTAACAGCAAGTGGAAATAAGCCATGTAATCACTTATACATAGGTCAGTGTTCTTTCAGTACCATGCCCTGGATTTACAACGATTTCCCTCTTTCTTTTCTTTCTTTTTCTTGTCTTTCAGAGGTTGAAACCCGGAATGAAAACATCAGAAAAAAAAATCCTGTGAACAAAAATCAACTAAAACAAAATTGAGCAGAAAATAAACTCAGAACTGGCCCTTTACCCACTCTTTCACGATCTTGCAGGAACAAAAAAGAAAGGACGTCTCCTTCCCATTTTCATTCTGTTAGAGAAAACTTTTTGCTTTTTGGCAAGTAAGAGAGATAAAAAAAAAAAATAAAAAAAAGCACTTTACTTTCTGTACATGAACAAATGAACTCCTGAAGTAAGAAAAAAAAAAGAAACGTCCCGAATCGTTAGTCTTTTTATACATGAATATCATTGGAAAATAAAATGAGAGCAGCAGTGGTGATCCCGTTCTTATTTTCCACATCTCACCTCGTTAGAGCACATTTCTGCCACGCCGCCCCCCCATCAGAAACCCGTACTTCAGCATTGTCCATCGTGCTCCTTCCTCCTGAGGGTACCCCACCTCCCCGTGTGCTGGAGGGACGCCATTAAAGATCAGCCTACCCAAGCCCCCCCCCAACCCCCAACCCCCGACCCCACCCCGCAATGGCTGTTGTCTTGTGCCTTGATGTAGAAACAATTTACATGAACATGATTGTACAGCTCCGTTTCGAGGTGAGGATCAAGAGAATGAAGACAAATTGAAATTGTAAACGCTATTGTGAAAAACACATTTCAGCAAGATTAAAATGTATTTTAGATACACTCGGGTTTGGGGTACTTGTGTTCTTCAGAGATTTTCAAGCAGGCGGAGGGAGAAACTGCATGAAACCAAGAGAAGGATTATATCATGCGAAGTCTATATTTGTACTGTTGATATTGAAAAGCATTGTCCATAAATTATAAATGATTCTCAGAACCTCATAGGTGCCGAAGACCTTGTGATTCATTGGTTGTTCTTCACACTGACAGATGCACAAACCCATGCTGAAAACTTGTTTCACACATCTATATCAAATGGATATGGAAACCCCGGCCGTGCACATGAGGACAGACGCACAGAAGCAGGCGTGCACTGTTTATAGGGACCGACATCTCAGAGGTATGGAGATGTTGAGATACACCACACAATGGGGAATCGCTTAATAAAAGGCAGACAAACCTGCAGTCAGACTTGTTCTTCTTTAGCTCCCCGGAATCTAAATACACACAAATGGGTGCAAAGCCCGTTCACGCATGGGAAAATCCTTCGTTTTACAAGCGTCTCTTTTTGCCGTCACACGCTCAATACTCGACCATCTAAACGTTACACGGGGTGTGACTGAGGGGTTCTGGGGTCCGCTTGTTTTTACAGCAGCGCTCCATTAGATGGCAATGTAATTATCTCCACCAAACTTTCAGCAGAGCTCTGTGGAGTCTCACCGATCTGCTCCCAGTGAGGAACACACATTCAAAGACAATCTCAGAAAATAGACTCTGATAAGAGAAAAAAAAACTCTCTCTGCATGGCCAGTCTTTCCAACCCTCTCCAGCAGTTCCAGCTGTTCTCTTTCACAACGGACCAAACCCAACTGAAAAACACCACTTTCACCCTTTAACACACTTCATTATCTTTCCCTGAAAAAAGCACAAAAACCCCTGTGTATCATTTCATCGTATTGTCTCATCCCAAAAGACTGTAAACACATTTTCAGAGCCGGTAGAGCTGAATATAAATCATATTCTTCTGTAGTTGCTTATAGGTCTTTTTGAAATGGGCAAAATATCATCACATAACTGACTATGTGATGCTATTTGGGAAAGCAAACAAGAATACCAGGACATAACTCCATAAGAAGGTGAACAGTATGAGTAGATGTGTGAATCACGAGGACATAAAAACAACGAGAACATAATCAGACTTCATGTGTCACATCCTCATTTCTTCTCAAGAAGACAACTGTGTTTGTTGCGTATAAATAAAGATCTTCCCCTTTTTTCGCATGACAAACATGGTCTGTGAGTTTGGAAAGTGAGGGGGATAATGAGCCTGTACGATGTGTGTAAAAGTGAAAACAGGATAGAGTTGATCCCATTCGCTGCACGGATGAATGCCGTGCGCTCACCAGAGCAAACGTGTGTTTGTCACCGTGCGCTCCACCAGGGCTGTCAGCGGCCCGCAAACAAACGCACCCCTGCTAAACGCTGGACTGGCTGCATGCGAAACGTGAGAAATATGTGAGGAAAATGGCAATTATCAGGAGCGGATGCTTGAATGACTGGCAGGAAGTCCGACTGCTCAACCGGATGATTTATCATTTCCCAGTCGAACACGTAGGATTAATGAGAACCAAGGCCATCAGAGTATGAACAGAAAAGGCGGCGTGGGCCCTGTCTGTCACTTGTTTTTACAGTCTTTCCACTCACTCTAACTCTGACTGTCTTGTCTGTCTGGAGTGAATCAGGGCTAAAGCTGGAGCCGTGCAGGAATCCGCATGGAAATTTTTTCCTGCATTACTGAGGAGGGAAAAAGAAAAAAAAAAGGAAAAATGATATTCCCGATAATTGAGGGGGACGGGAGGTTGAGGGCTGATTTGTGGGGTCGGTTTTGTTTAAAGCTCCTTTCTCTGCAGCAATCTAACAATCCCTACTCTGTAAATGAGAATAGCAGTCCTAATGGCACACAGCTGCTTCCAGACTGGAATCAGACAGAGAGCCCCCATCTCCAAGGAGAGGACATGCCGCTGATCCCAGTTCCCAGAAACCCACACCACAACCCCATTTCCAAACAGGGGGTTTGGAAGATGCTTTATTCTAATGTTTTAAAGAGTAATTTGAAGTTTTGGAAAAATACAGAGCTGCAGTCATAATGTTTTGTCTGGTCTCTCTTCTTTTCCACTAACTTCTCCAACTCAGCATATCATTAGTTTCACTTAAAAAACAAAGAGCCAGTAAAGTTTCATTTCTATTACATAATAGTCCTTTTAAAATGCTGCCTTTATAGACACTTTTCTATTTATCTTTTTGCAAATGTTGTGAGTGATGCATCTGGGCATGCTCCTTTTATTCAGGCATTTCAATGGCAGTGCCCCCGGAATGGGTTTCTTTGCAGTAATTTAGCAACGAATAGCAGCTTACTTTAGTTTGTATGTATTGTAAGGGTTGATTTGTTCTGTTTCTGTGGTTATTAAGGAGATTTAGAAAACACTGTCTCTAATCAAATGCAGGAATGTTTAAATGGCCGTAAAAATATGACTCAGACCAAAATCACACTCATTTAAATTTCTCAAAATCGGACCGTCACACGCAGATATTTTAGGTCTAACTTGCACACACTTGCTTTTTACGTGGTCGGCGTTCTATCGGGGCTGAGTCGGGCTGATGCCAGACCGCCGGACACTGATTGGCCAGGGAGTCAAGTATTTGCTGTGAAGCCCTTCATCATTATTTTGTGTGTTTGCTGTGAATAAATGAGTCACGAGCTGGTCGAGCTATCTTTGTGCTTGTAATGGAACACCATCAAAACCGTGCAGAACCGGGCCGGGCCGACCCGTGTAGGGCTGAGTAGGCACTACTGGAAAAACGCCATGGACTTATCTGTTCCACACATTGTCCAAACCTCCCTGTAAAGCTACTCGTATTTTTTTGTTTCTTGGATTAGATGCCTAAACGTGTGACTAAAAAGTGCTCATTAAGGTTCTGTTAACACCAACACAAGCTCTGATAGCCAAAGATTTCTCTGAGCAAGTGTCTGAAATGCATCAGGAGCTGGTTAAATCTTCCTTGTAGCAGTGCACATTATATAGTAGGTGAGTGAGAAGACAATGTAAAAAAAAAAGCCCCTGACTTTGAGGAACTCAGTGTTTTTGCCTGTGTTGTAAAGATGCTCACACAATACAGTTATAAGCTATATCTCTCGTATAAAGGTTCAAAAGCATGTTTGGGAGGGTAATCAGAGGTTGGACCAGCCCCTTTGTGTGCAAACTTTTCTCTTTTCAGGTCTAATTTCCTCAGAACTATGTTTTGGTTATTGAGTCTACCGGGTCATTATGTCTGCAGGTTGCTGTGAAAAAGTGTTCTCTTGTTGCTTTTGGCAGGAAACGAGGTACAAACTATATGAGGAAATTAGCTGTTTACATTCAGATTTGGGCTAGAACTAATATTTATTGCCTGCACGCTGCACGGGGGGGTCTCATGCACACGGGACGCACGTGAGGTGGGATGGTTGACGTAATGGCGTGCTAATTATTCACTTAAGAACACAACGGTACGAGCCTCAGCCCAGACCGGCGGGGCCTTCACTGTAATGGGAACCACCCCACTGCCCTTTTTACGCCTATTTTCCTTCCTCGTTTTTAAAGCCCCCAGTTTTTCCAGAAGGCTGAGGTGAAACCAGACACCCAGGAGCAGTCGTGGTAAAGCTCCAGAAACAACACCAGGCTGGGACCCCACATCCTCTCACCTTCCCCAGTCCCCCCTTCCCATCTCCTGCCACCGTTCCCGGGAAGGTAAACACCCTTCCACCCTTTCAGGAATGGGTTTTTTTTCTTTTTTTTTGCAGCCACGGCAGTTCCTTCATCTGCCTCTCTGTTTCTGTCCCTCCCTCTCTTTCTCCTCCTCCCCTCCCTCCATATGCTGCCACATCTGGAACCCAGCTCCTCATTTATTCATGTGGTTTGTTTTGTTTCTTTTTTTCGTTTCTTCCAGAGTATTACTTTAAAGCCCTTTACCTTGTCTTGTTGGCAGTTTCTCTCCATCTGATGAGGTCTGCAATTACATCTCAACATAACTGGTCACTCTGCAATTACATGCTCCGCCACAGAATCTTACCCCCCCCCCTCAGAGCTCATATGGCAGACCGAAATAGAATAGTTTCATGTCTGTTTGGATGGCAGCCCAGCTGAAACTATGCTCCACTTTTTGACTGACAGTGGGACGTGGACTTTTTCTCCTAAAGGGAAAGCTTTAAGGCCGGTCCCGTTCAGACTCCAGGCACTCTCACTCCAGCAGGCTTTGGAGGTGGTTGCACCAGCTGGGCTCCACAACGAGAACGGAGGCCAGACACAGTTAAAGTCAGAGTGAGCGGCAGAGGGGAGGACCACAGCCACAACCCCCTAACTTCTATGGGAACACTTTACTTTTCAGGCGCCGACCAAGAAGCTTGGTAAGTTTCTTAAATTGCGTCTAATCTCAGTGTTTTCACGATGATGAAACGAGCCATTTTGTTGAGCCGTTTAAAAAAAACGAACTTTGAAAAAACCTATGGGAGCCCGATGATGGAAAGTAGCAAATAGCATCTGAATCAAATCTAGAGTCTAACAAATGATGCGCATTGACTAATGGGCTGAGAGACATCAGAGCTAAGTTGAGCAAGGTGCACTTGGGAACCCACGTGACAAATGACGGATGTCAGCTCATTCAGATGCAACGTAACACTTACACGTTTGAAAATGATCATGCAACCTTGGATTTTGCAGTATAAAAAGAGAATTGATGTACAAGCCAAGTATTTTTTATGGCTGCTCTTAAACATCTATGGGCTTTGTCAGAATATATTTTCAAAGCTTTTTATCGAATGCATCTGGAGACTGATCATTCGCCTCTTTTG